AAAATAATATATTTATTACACTTTTGATTTATATTTTAGAGATAAAATAAAAAAAATTCGTTTTCTTTTAAACAAGGCAACTTAAAAAAAAAGTTAAAAGAAAAAGAATTGAGATCCATAAAATTTAAATATGCATATATAAAAAAGAATATTCACTTTAATAGAGAGTTATGATTACGCTAGTTTGGTGGTTATCTCTTTAGGTTAAAAATAAAAATTTTAGAGTTTGAGTTGTATGGTATGTGAGTAAAATAGAATAAGAGATTGAAGATAATTATTTTTTATTATACAACCAAAATAAAAAAAAAATTATGATCACCATAAGAGGCAAAAATTTATTTTAACCCTTTACCTTAATAAATTTATAGATTTTACCCATAACCTCTCACCTATACAAATCAAAGAAAATAACCCTTATTATTTAATGTTATGTTAACTGACTGTTAATTCTATTAGTTGATTGTTAATTATATTAGTTGACTGTTAATATTTCATTATATAAAATATAAAATTTAAATTCAATTTTATTTGTTATTGTCGTTAATAAAATACTAATAATCGATTAACAAAATTAATAGTTAAGTAATAAAATTAACTGTTAACTAATAAAATTAATAATTAATTAATAAAATTAACTGTTAACTAATAAAATTAATAATTAATTAATAAAACTAATAAAATATTATAATATAATGTTAAATAAAAATTATTTTTTTTACCTATCAAAAAAATTATTATTTTTTAATTTATATAAATAAAAAATTAAAAATATTATAATATAAAATAAAAAATTAAAATTTAAAAATCTATTAAAGTAATGGTTAAAAAAAAGCTTCTAGCGAGACAGGATGTGGAGATCATGCGCGTATGTATCGGACAGAGGATTGACCACAACAATTAAGTCGCCTACGTCTCCATTTCTGTCAAGTGGGCCTTTGTCTGGACGATTGGGTTAATTTCTGGTCCACACCTTGGGAACCGCAGGTTTGCAATCTTGTGCATGGTAAAAGCTCGGAAATTACCAAAATTCATCTAAATTTGTTATGCCCTTTATTTATTTTTAATTTTTAAAATATAAATTTCAAATTAAAATTTAATATTTAATATAAATAATAATTAAACTTTTTTAT